GGAATTTTAAATGATGGTTGGTCGGATAAGAAGCCGGTTGGTTGGATTGACAAATTGCCCACGCAAAGAAGGCAAACAGCCAATTAGCCACAGAAGGTGGCATTTCCACGGTTTCAGCAAACCTACACATCTCCCTACGCTGCTGCCCTCCATGAATTGTACATGATCATCAAACGTCACACGGTTAGTTTGATGATAATTTCTGACAAATTCGGCCAGCCCGGTCGGCTTTTTTATTTTCATCTTAGGCCCCTCGCTCATTATTATTATTTTTCGTTTTTAAACCCCATGGCTAGAGAATTTTAATTTCAACCCACAAACCAAAACAACAAAAGAGGAAAAGCCCAAACGGAGAAAAAAAGGCGAGGAGAGAAAGAGTGCTGGTTATGTCGGTTCATTTGGGAAGCTGAAGAGCCTAAGAGGTAGAAGAAGAAGCAGAGCCACCCAGTAGCTGTAGTTGGGTGCTTGATTGTTGAGTGGTCAGCCATGCCTTCGCTTCAGCTGCTGCAATTAACTGAGCATGGCCGGAGTTTCATGGCGTCGAGGAGGTAATCAATCAATCAACCAATCTATCAATCTCTGTTGACAGTTTTAAAGTTTCAGTGACTCTTATTGCGTAGCTAATTGCATCATTTTTAACCCTAAACGTTTCCTGAGAATCTCAATTTACTCTTTGATACCCATATAGTGATTTGGGCAGTGTTCGTTTTTCTCTATTTCTGTTGATGGGGTTTGATTCTTTGATTGGTTGGTATCTGGGTGTTGCTAGATCCGATCTACCACACGATTTATGTCGTAATTTTATGTGTAGCCTTCAAATTCTTGCTTGTATTCTTTTCCAAATTACTAATTTTTGAATTTTCTTCTCCAAATTCTCTTCCTTGCGTGTTGATTATTCTGCTTATGTTCTCATATAACTATTATGGTGGGTACTGGCATATGGTGCTGTTTGAGGGTGAAAGTATTTTATTTCTTACTATATATACTTTTATCTTCAACTTACTTATACTCAATGCCTTCTGTGTCTTCGCTAAGTTGGCAATGAAATTATTCTAGTATTATTGTCTTTTTGATAAGAGGCATTATGCTAATAATGTATTACTGCACAGGAAAACTTTACTACTTGCCACTGGTATCGTGGTTGCTGGTGGGACTGCTGCATATGTTCAATCACGGTTAAACCATAAAAAGCATGATTCTCTTGGTTATTATAATGGGCTGAATGATAATGAAGAAACAACGGAGAAGGTCGTGATGAATGATCATAAGTTAAAGAAACCTCCACGAAAGAAAGGGGGATTGAAGTCGCTTCAAGTTCTTGCTGCAATTCTCTTATCTGAGATGGGCCAAATGGGTGTGAGGGATCTTTTAGCTTTAGTCTCTATAGTGGTAAGCTTCTGGTCTGTACATATCTTAGAAACAAAGCTTGATCTTCTTTGTTTACTTTTTTTTTTTTGGCTGTGAATTAATCTCTATTACGCTAAATTATGAGTATGCAAAAGAACATCAACAAGATTGAAATATCCCTTGCGGGAAAATGCTATGTGGACAGAAGTAAACCACTCTTTGATTTTCTTTTACTATTTCAACTCAAACTTCATAAGTCAACCATTTCAATGTTTTAGCAAAAGAACATCAACAAGATTGAAATATCCCTTGCGGGAAATGCTATGTGGACAGAAGTAAACCACTCTTTGATTTTCTTTTACTATTTCAACTCAAACTTCATAAGTCAACCATTTCAATGTTTTCCTATACTTATCTCTATAAATGTGGGTGTTAAAATTAGAAAGTGTTGCCTAGTTGACAGTTTTTGTTTGTATTGTGGCTCCAATGTACTTTTAACTTACTTTCTGCACTTAAACCTTGACAAGAAACATTTTTAGTTATCAAATTGGTGCTATCATAGGTTTGCACTTGAGCATTTGATTTTGAGAAGGCCTATGACTATGCGGAGCTTTCTTGGAATTGGATTTGGAACGAAAGGATTTTGGGGCTGCTTGAGGAAGTGGATAAGGGGGCTTTGAACTCAGTTAATTTTTCAAATGTAGTAAATGGGAGACCAAGGGGTAAATTTGGAGCATCAAGAGGGTTAAGGCAAGAAGTTTTGCTTTCTCCTTTCTTACTTAATCTTGTGGTTGATGGTTTGACTAGGCTCAGGGAAAAAGGTAAGGAGATGCATAAATTAAGGGGTTTAGGGATGATTTGTTTATATGGACTTTGGTGTCACAGGTGAATGAAAAAGAGGGTTTAGGTGTTTGGAACTTGGTAAGGAGAAATGAAGTTTACTTGGAAAGTGGATATGGAGGTTCCAGCAAGGGGAGAGTGAGGCCCTTTGGGTTGCAGTCATTAGAAGTAACTATGGGTTTCCCAATAATGGGTGGAATTTCATATTTGTGATTAGTGGTTCAAACCAAGGACGAAAATATTGGCTTGATAGGACGATATATCGTCCAATATGTCAAATTTTTAGAATGCCAATACCAATACTAGGGGTAAGCCTATTTCTCCCCCCTCCCAGAAAATTTTCATGATTTTTGAAGGTAATACTAAAGAAGATGCATATTCAAACCAAAAACAATTTGGAATCATTGTTTTAACTCTCTAATTAAGTCAAATATGAACCAAATTAAATCTTAATCGAATAACCATCTACTAACCCAACCATTTAATCAAGCTACATATCCAATTAATCTAATGATTATTGTAATCCAAATTAAACAAACAACATCAATGTACACTGATGCCGAAATGATATCTATATACCCCCTGAAATATCCTTAAATTGGAAGGCAGGTACTTCCTGCATGGCCGACATTTTCATCATTGGTTCGAACTTGATGTCCTAAAAAAGATATCTCTCAAGGTCTTCCTTTTTTTATTTCTTATTGTCAGGTTGGGGTGAGAAACTGAAAGAGGGTGAGGTTTTGGGAAGAGTGTTGAGTGGGAGGTAGTAACTTTTGTACATTTTTTCCTCAATTATATAGATTATCTCAATTCACATGATATTCCTCGCAAGTGTGTGTCCAGAGTCTTTTTCTTCTCCTTTCAGTTGGAACTTTAGTTTTTGTAGAAACTTGAATGATCACGGGGTGGGAAGCTAACAGACTTATTGGCCCTCTTGGAGAACATGTTCTTGGTTCTATCTAGGCCAAAGAGAAGACTATGGAAGTTGGAGTCTTTGGGAGTCCTTTTGTAAATCTTATTCAAAAAATTAATGGACAATTTTATCTCTGTTTATGGCCCCTTTCATGCAACTTGAGAGGCCAAACTGCTTCTAAGGTTTGAGCATTAGCTTTGGATGGGGAGGGTGAATACTTTTGAGAGAACACTTGATTATGTGAATCATCTTTCCAAACACATTTTCCAATTCTGTATGGATCTTCTGTGAACTGTAATGCCACTATTTCTTCCTTTGTTTCTCTCGCTACTGGGTTTTGTTCTTGGAATCTAATCTTTAGGTGAAATCTTAATGATAAGGAGGTTGATGAATTTTCTGACTTATTTTTTGTATTAGTAATCTCTCTTTGCATCCCACCTGTGCTGACATGAGAATTTGGGTGTTCAGGGATCTGGGGTGTTTTCTTGTGAGTCCTTTTTTTGATATCCTTGTTGGGTAACCCAAAATTCCCTACCTTTGGCTCTCGTAAGTCCATTTTGAGTTGGGGTTAGCAAAGTTCAGTTACTAGCTTGGTTTGTGTTCCACGGAAAATTCAATACCCTTGGCATGCTTCAAAAGAGATACCTCTACTGTTCAAAATTGTAATAGTAATCTTGGTTGTTGGTTTGGATTGGGCGACTCTCAGAAGCTGCTATTTTCTGCTCGAGGAACTTTTGTTGGCATGTGAGTCGAGATGAACAGTTTTACCCTGTGGTGTTGAACTGTTTTTGCATTTTTCTGGGTGGTTTAGTGTGACAGTAATATAACAATTGACAAGAATAGGGAGGAAGAGCTGTTTTCACTGTGGCAGAGTGGATTCCTTGTGTCCCTTCTAAACAGTTTAAGGGTGTGGTAGGAATTCAAAGAATATAAGAAATCTAGGGACTCTTTAGAATCATACAAATTCTTCTAGGAGTCTCACCTTCAAGAATTTCAATGTGGCATCACCGTTAAAAGTAAGCGTAGTTGCTTAAAATTTCATTAATCAGCCTTGTTTAAGTTTCCTCTTCCAAAAGGAACTCTAATTAAACTGAAAACTACAAATTTTGATGCCTTTTTGAAGTAATTGTAACCCCAACCAAACACTACCAAATCAAAAAATTATGAGGTCTTAGAATCTTCTCTTGGACAGAGTTCATTTTTAGGCTTCCCTTTGGGCGTCAGTATCTTTAGAATTTTGGGATAGTTCTTTTCAGGCTATATTGTATGATAGATAGGTATGTTTCTCAGCTCTGTTTTGCAGTCTTTGTTAAATTGCCTATGTCCTAGCTACACCAGGGATGTATTGTGTATTGCTTTTGTAATTCTTATAAAAGGAAGAAAAAAATTATGAGAAGGTCACCATACAAATCAAACGACAGTTATGTCTCTGCATATAGCATATGGGAAATCTAAATATGATTGATTCTTGTAAGTATATTATATTATAATGTATGATCTATGGCCAACAGCTGGCCTTGTATTAGTCTTGAAAGTGCTCATGCATGGCCTCTACTTCATTAACATGATATTGCTACATGTATCGTTTTGACTGACGGTTTTACCTAGGTGCATTCCCTTACAAGCATGCATGCGTATACACGCACACACCCGTTGCATACCCATTGCCCTCTCACAACGTAATAACATGCACTTGTACTTTTACATGAAGCAAATGTGTATATACTAGCTTGGATTGGAGGAGGATGATCATTAGAAGTTGCAAAGAAAGGTTTCATGCATTTGTTAATCTTGGACAAGATATGAATAAAAGAGAACTTTAATGGAAAGCAAGCTAAATTTCGATTTTCTGCTTCTATGGAATACCTATAGTTTGGAGCTTGGATTTGGTCAATCTTCTCAATGTGGAGCATATATGCTTATCTCAACACTTATTTTGCTTGCAGGTGTTGCGAACTGCTTTGAGCAACAGGCTAGCAAAAGTTCAAGGATTTTTATTCCGTGCAGCTTTCCTTCGACGCGTGCCATTATTTCTTCGACTGATCTCTGAAAATATTTTATTATGTTTTCTTGTATCAACCATGCATTCTACTTCAAAGTATATCACAGGGACCTTAAGTCTGCGGTTCAGAAAAATATTGACAAAACTTATTCATTCCCATTATTTTGAGGTAGTTATTTTTACTATGCACTGATGTTACCTTTTTTTAATTATTATTTGCTTATTACTTAATAATGCACTGTGTTCTAGTCTTCCTCTCACCTTGAGTTGCTTTCTTTATATTTTCTTTCAAATGGCTTCACATCTTTATACTCAACAAATATGGAAACCGTGTCAGTTTTCATGTTTGATTTGTTAATATTTGTGATCAACATTGGTTTTATTATATTATACTGGTGCCAATACATCAAGAAAAGGAAGAACTGTAAAGAAGTCATCAAGAATGAGATACCTAATTGACTTGATTTCTGTTGTGATATTATTTCCTTGAAGTTTGTTTACTGCAGTATTTTCCATTTACTCAAGCCTATGCCCGTGTTATTTAAGTTGAATCAACAGTGACTAAGAAATTTTTCTGTTTGCTTTTATTATCTTAGTGTAAGAATGTTTGCAAGGGTGCTACCTATCTTTTCATCTTGAGGGGGAAAGTCCAGCGGTTGTTTTGTTTCTCTAAGTATTGATTATTTGTTGATATATAAAAAGTTCTTTCAGTCACCTTACTGTACTTAATTTTGACTTCTTCACATAAATTTCAAATTCCCATGAAAATGTCAAGTAGTTTTAGTACATGCCTTGATTGTAATGGGGTAAATCCCTCTGTGTTTATCACTAAATCCTTTCCATTTAAATTCATGGCCTTTGAGAATCTCTATTTGCTAGTCTTATCTGATTGATGAGCGTACTTGGAATGAGAGGAAAAGTCAATAGATTGCATGTCTTCATAAAAAATTAGCTCAAGATAAATAATGAAGGGGGTTTATTGGAATAATGAATTGAATAAAGGCACAGCGACCAAAGATGTTACCAGACTAACTGCTTACCAGACCTCTATCTCCCCTTCAAGTTCCTCAATATTTTAGCATTCTCCAAAGCTGGCACCTCCTGATCTGTCCTCCAGGACTTTTAAAAAGTGGCAATCCTAATTGTCAATTTGGTTTTGTAATTATTGCAACATATAAGTGGTGATCTGCCTAGTTTTTGGAAATCCTGATGACATCCTTCATTGTAATTTTGAACTAGATTTTGAGTTGGGAGAGTGGCTACCATTCATAGCATGTTGTTTTTACATCCTTCATTGTAATTTTGAACTAGATTTTGAGTTGGGAGTCTGGCTACCATTCATAGCATGTTGTTTTGCGTCTTTTGACTCCTTAGAAACTTTTTTCTTCTTAGAGTGTCAATTTTTAGTATAGTCTCTAAAGAATATAATTTCTAGTCTACAAATAATTTGTACGTTGATTTGGTGGAGAGTTCAGTGTCCGGATGCCCTTTTCTTTTAATGATCTTATAATTAATTTTCATGCGAGTTCGATTGCTATTACTCTTGAATATTGATTTGGAAGAAAATGGATTGTGTTTCATAAAGAACATGCAAATTTGCTTTAATATCTTTGCCTCTCACTGTAAGCTGACCAAGAAAATATGGGTCTTTATTGGTATGCATTATATTGTTGGGCCTTATCTTTGCATTGTGATTATTTTTTTTGGTGTTTTAATTCTTGTTTGATTCTCAGAATATCGCATACTACAAAATGTCTCATGTCGATGGTCGGATAACTAATCCTGAACAAAGAATTGCAAGTGATGTGCCAAAGTTCTGTTCAGAGTTGAGTGAAATTGTACAGGATGATTTGACAGCTGTCACTGATGGTTTGCTTTATACTTGGCGGCTGTGTTCTTACGCCAGTCCTAAATATGTTTTCTGGATATTGGTAATTATTTATTGCACTAATTTGCGAATCTTAGAGTAAATAGATTAGATGTCTTGTCAATCTGATCACCTTCTCATAACTTTCAGTTAAGATGGTAAATATCGTCATTTGTAGTTTGCCAGCTGAACCTCTTATCTTTCAGGCATATGTAATAGGAGCAGGGGCCACGATAAGAAATTTTTCTCCTGCTTTTGGGAAACTAATGTCCAAAGAACAACAATTGGAAGGGGAGTACCGACAACTTCATTCACGATTAAGGACACATGCAGAAAGTGTGGCATTTTATGGTGGAGAAAGTAGGGAAGAATTTCATATTAAGAAGAAGTTTGAAACTCTGATTGGGCATATGCGTGTTGTCCTTCATGACCATTGGTGGTTTGGCATGATTCAAGATTTTTTATTGAAATATCTTGGTGCTACAGTGGCTGTTATACTGATTATTGAGCCCTTCTTCTCAGGCCATCTGAGGCCTGACACTTCAACTTTAGGCCGCGCGGAGATGTTAAGCAATTTAAGATATCATACTAGTGTCATAATTTCACTATTTCAGTCTTTGGGAACTCTTTCTATAAGTTCAAGGCGGCTTAATCGTCTCAGGTAACTGATTTTGGGTGAATTGGAAATAGGAAATTGTCTCTGGTAACTCTTGCAATTTCAAAATGGAACTTTTTGTATGAATAAAATAAATTGTAGTTTATTTTCTTACGAGTTACAAGTATAAGGTTTCACTCAAAGGTGTCTTTCTGTATGTATGGTCATAAAGCATTTCCTGTGCCCCTGACTCTTTCTAATTTGACCCATCTTTTTTTTCTTCACAGTGGTTATGCTGATCGCATTCATGAATTATTGGCCATATCAAGAGAGCTAAGTGTGGTCAATGGTAAATCTTCTGGGAGCAGAAATTGCTTTAGTGAGGCTGATTACATTGAATTTGCTGGTGTCAAGGTGTGTATAATTTACTAAAATTTCTACCTGTTGGTTGTACCATTTTTGTCCAGTATATGGTTTTATAGTGAAGGTGTTTTTCAGGTTGTTACCCCCACGGGTAATGTTTTGGTGGATAATTTGTCACTTAGGGTCGAATCAGGATCTAATCTTTTGATTACAGGTAACCACTGTGTGTCCTATGGTGCTATTTCGTTCTATTTGCACTTGTTTCCTGTGTGTCATTGCTGTCTTTACATTCTTATCTATTGTGTTTCTTGCCAGTTTCTGCCTCAATTGTATTATTAAGTGCAAAACAAAATTTGGTTTTACATGATAATATTTTGGTAGATCTTTAAATGAATAAAAATTACCAGCATTTTGCAAAGCGTTCTTCAAGCACACGTCGTGACGTCGTGACAATGAGTCAGCAAACTGTCTCTCAAGGCACTGCTTGTATAGCAGATGTCACATTTGGCATACATGACAGAGGCGAGGTGCACTGTTAGTTGCTGAGGTTCTATTTTTAATTTTTTGTTTTGAAAATTTTTAGACCCAAACGACACCATTTTGTTGTGCCCCTTTACTCCCTTTTTTATTTATTTAAGTGTGATTTGCTAAAAACCAAAAATTACTGTAAAACACTGCGTAGCCTGAAACCGAACATTTAGCTTCATTTATCTCTTAATGATACTTCTGGTGGTGGCTTGTTTAGTAGGTGGTTTTGAAGCATGGTTTCTGGACTAATTGTAGTCTTCCAGAGTATGTAATTAATGGTACAATTCACTTTGTTTTTTAAATTACAAAAATAAGTTTAGGGTGCTATATGCATGACTTTTGTTTACATTTTCTTCTTCTTTCTTCATAGTTTACATGCCTTTGGAATCAAAGTATCTGCTCATTTTGACATATTGAACTTATAAAATGGGTGAGTGAGTGAGTGAGTATGTGTGTGTTTATGGTAGTTCCAGGAACAGATCTAATGGAGATGGGGTGGGGCCTGTAGCTATGAGGGTTAGAGCATGTGGCTGCGAAGCATGGTGTTGGGGCTTCAAAGCCTTCACAAACAATATCATGTCTCTCATTGGTGCTTGCACACATGCTTCTAGAGCTACTCAATTAGGTACGCACCAGGTGCATTTCCCTGAGGGTGTCCTAAAGTTCCTCTCCAGGAGCGGAACTTCTTTTCTCAAAGAGCAAATCCATCTGGTCAGCCATTATAGAACAAGCAATCCTAACGTGGGTAGATTTGGTTAGGGGGATGCAGAAATAGTACCTTAAGATTCAATCTGCATGTGTTTGTCTGTTTGTCTGTCAAGGTATATGCTGACTTTGACATGTTGTACTTATAATATGTGTTGTGTGTAAGTCAAAGTATCTATTGATTTTGATATGTTGAACTTTTACTATGACTATGTGTGTGTATGTTGATAAGTACTTATAATATACTGAAATCTTACTGAAGGTCCAAATGGTAGCGGGAAGAGCTCACTTTTCCGAGTTCTAGGAGGTCTCTGGCCCTTGGTATCTGGCCATATTGTGAAACCTGGTGTTGGTACTGATCTCAATAAAGAAATTTTCTATGTACCACAAAGACCATACACAGCTGTTGGAACACTTCGGGACCAGTTGATTTATCCTCTTACTGTAGATCAAGAGGTTGAACCACTTACACACAGTGGAATGGTGGAGTTATTGAGAAATGTGATTTCTCCATTTTATCCTTTTCCTCCTTGTCATTTTTGTTATGTGTAGATCCTAAATATTGTGATGATTCCATTAGAAGTTTATATGCTGACCTAATTATTGGCGGGAATTTTCGTGTTCTGTTTTGAAGGTTGACCTCGAGTATTTGTTAGACCGGTATCCACCTGAGAAAGAAATAAATTGGGGTGATGAATTATCTCTTGGGGAGCAACAAAGATTGGGGATGGCTAGACTTTTCTATCATAAGCCTAAATTTGCAATTCTTGATGAGTGCACAAGTGCTGTCACAACTGATATGGAGGAACGTTTTTGTGCTAAAGTTCGAGCGATGGGAACGTCATGCATTACTATCTCACATCGTCCGGCTCTAGTTGCATTTCATGATGTGGTGTTGTCCTTGGATGGTGAAGGTGGTTGGAGTGTTCAGTTCAAAAGGTTGGGTTGCAAGTTTTGTTATCTTACACCATTTTTTTCTATTAGTTTTGATATAGTAGATATTTCTTTCTTAGAATTTTCCCTTATAATTCCAGGGAGGATTCTCCTCTCCTTAATGAAGGTGGGGGAAATATGATGTTGTCTGAGACGACCCGACAGAGTGATGCAATGACGGTTCAACGTGCATTTGCCACGACTAGAAAGGTCTGAGTGAATTTGTTATTTAATTTTTTATGTTGATTCTGGATATATGACTGTTTTGGTTTAACAAATCTGTTTGTTAATTCATTTGAAGGATTCTACAATCTCAAATTCGAAGGCACAATCTTACATCGGTGAGGTGATAGCAGTGTCTCCTTCCGAGGATCATAATGTTACACATCCATTTGTTCCACAGCTCCAAAGGGATCCTCGAGCTTTGCCATTGAGAGTAGCAGCCATGTTCAAAGTACTGGTGAGTATTTTGTTCTGTTACTTCAAATCACGTTACAGATGAATGTTATGTGATGTTCTGCTGTCTGCCATCATAGTGATAAATGGTAGGTTTCTATTGTTGGCATTTTTAGGTATATTTTAATTCCTCTAGATCACATTTACTTCCATATATCATCAATTTATAAGGATTTCTGTATGACAATAGTTTCATCAATGCCTCCAGTAACCCATCAAAATAAATAACCTGAAATTACTAAGAATATCTGTTGCTGAGATTTTTTTTATTATGTATCTTTAAGGTCACATAACAATATGAAATAACATTCATGGTAAAAGACTAAAGGTTGCACTAGCTTTCACCTTGATTCACTGCTAATAAAATTGTGTTCTGTTCCCTGTAACTTTAAATCTTTTGTCCTCTTGTTTTGTAGTATATTTGATGATTGTTGGTTGTATTGCTTTTTATTGAGGCTGTTAGGATTTTGGCTCGTCAAATATGTCCTAGTTGGTTTAGGATTGTTTTAGGAAAATTAGAGGTATACCAATTCTTGTCCTAGAGGGATTAGGAAAGAATTTCAGTTTCCTTATTCAATTCAGGTTTGGATTTCTAGAAGTCTATTAGGATTTGGATAAATGTAATTTCCTAATCCACTTAGGAATAGGAATCCAATCAGCCTTGGGACATGTAAGCCAACTCTATATCTATAAATAGGGTATGGCAAGGCTTATTTTTAAGAGAGGAAAAACAGCCAGAGACAGCCAAGAGTCTTGAGATTAGTTCTAGGGTTGCAAAAGTTCTGTAATCTCTATTATTAATCAAAGGAGCGGTGATTTCTCTACCTAGAGAAATCACAACTGGACGTAGGCAAAAGTTCTGCCGAACCAGTATAATTCTTGTGTGTTTCTAAGTTTTCTAATATTTGCTAGTTTAGTCTATTGCCGTTGGTTACATTAAAGAACAAGATCTAGAAGGCAGGTTATTTAACAGAGGCATCCTGATTGTGGTTGTCACTTCATTTTCCTTTGTCCATCATCTTATTTATGGCAGGCTGTGTTCTAACTTCTAACCATCCTTTAAGACCCGAAGTTATATTTCTTTATTTCAGATTCCCACAGTTCTTGATAAACAAGGAGCACAACTGCTTGCAGTTGCTTTTCTCGTGGTATCGAGAACATGGATTTCAGATCGTATTGCTTCCTTAAATGGTATTTTCTCTTCCCTTAATAAGCATATGAGTATTTGAGAGATCATGCAATTTTGTGGTTCATTTATTTGCTTGTTTATTTTCGAAAAGAAGACAAATTTAATTGCTGAAAAACTGTACAGTTCGAAGGAAAGTATGACTTACTGCAAAGAAAACAAAGTAGTAATACAAATGCATTAATGCTAAAACGAAACCCGAACAAAACAGAACACCTAACACACATCGACTTTCCAGCCTAACCAATTGGCAGTAACAGATAAACTCCAACCTTCTGGGGAAACAGAAGGCTATATTGAGGGCCAAAACCGAACTTTATCTTGTAATTCCTTGTTACACTCTCAATTTATGTGGTTAATTAATTTATGCAGGAACCACTGTGAAATTTGTTTTGGAGCAGGATAAGGCAGCCTTTATTCGTCTAATTGGCGTTAGTGTTCTGCAGAGTGCTGCATCATCCTTCATTGCACCTTCTTTAAGGTAATTTCGGTATTCAATAGATTCTAAAATTTTCTTAACCACTATAGATTTGTATGAATTTTTTATTTTTTGCAAACTATCTGAAAACCTTTATAGTTTTTGAACTTACTGGAATATGTTTTCTTCTTTTTGTATAACTTTACTGAAGTGTACATGTTGAAGCTGCAGAATATCTTTTTTTTTCTTTTTTTTTTTTTTTTTTCGAGTATCTTTTTCTGTTGCCAAAACTTCTAGAGAGGGAAGGAACACATTGTCTTCTGCATGTCCTTCCAGTATTCGATCCATCTATTCTTTTAGGCCCCCTTCAAGGATCCCTTCAAAATATCAGCGAAATTGGAAACTCTTGTTCACCTAGTTGAGGCTGTATATTCTGATGAACATGACCAACCAATTTCCAATTTGACTGATTTTTTGTAGAGATCATCCTTAAAGGGTATCTAATCATGAGACTTCATGTGTGCCACAACCCGATGGTGCTCTTATCATATGTATATGTATATGTGTGTTTAAAACTTGGTTCATGAAGGAACTAAGTGAGAATCCTCTTATCATAATGTGAATTCTGTTTTTGTTGCGTAGGCACTTGACAGCCAGGCTGGCTCTTGGGTGGAGGATTCGTTTAACTCAACATTTACTCAAAAATTACTTAAGAAATAATGCATTTTATAAGGTAGCCATACTGAAATGTTTGATCAATTTTCTTTTCTTGGGGTTTTTCTATATTCATCTAATTCTGGAAGTGTTTTTTTTTTTTTTTTTTTTTTGGTTG